AATAATAGCTTACAATCATGTTATTACACAATTAATCAACACAAGACAAATCGAAAATAGCTTGGTAGCGATCACCTCATTCACAGGGGTTATTATCGTCCATAAATTCCATAATATTCGTATAACCCTTTTCACACAAACTTAGTTTGAGCAAGTCAAATTTTGTATATTTAATAATATAAGAAAAAATGACTCCGTGAAGTCGAGTAACTGGTACTGGTACTGATACTGGCTTTTGTCTGTTCCTAGTATTTACAGAATGAATATCACTTATTTTTGTAAAACTTCTATTATTTTTGTGTACGTACATTACATTTTTATAAATGTAGTGAGTGGCCAAAGTTAATGTGTTAATTTGCTTTAATTTTTGTCCGAACGGTTCTTTAGATTTTAAATCATAGATTGCTCCTCATGGTCCACACCGACGGGTCCTACATAAATTGGTGCTACTCGTAATTTGTCAAAATTGTTTTTTTTTTACATCAAACTGAGAATGTAAGTTGCACAAAGGTGCCCCAAAAAACCCCACACCAATCATTTATAAACAGAAAAAAGAAGGAAGAATTTGAAATGAGAAAAAAAAAAAAAATGCAGCGTAATGAAATAGGTTAATTACATTTCTGTATTTGTTTAGTTTGTTAAATTTAGGTGGGTTTATTATATTTTCTGTTTTTATTAGTTTAATTATTTTATGGTTGAAGTTACTGTGATAACAAATGAGACTAATAAAACTTTCGAGAGGTCAATAAATTATCAATGGCCTGATTTGTTATAAAAAAGCGCAGCCAAACAAATATTCCAGAAAATTACTAAGGTTAGAATAAATTTAACATTTTGAATAATGCATTGAAAAATTATATTTAATCCCATTAATTTTCATTATTTAACATTTGATTTCTTTACAGTTTGTTCATATTTTTACTTGCTACAATAGAAACAGTTCACGTTGTTTAATTCAGTACGTTATAGAGTAGTGTAAATGACTTTTACCGAATATTTGTAAATCAATATTTTAAAAACATTATAAACACTTTAGATTTTATTTATTTCAGAAGCAACTATATGACCTACACGCAAAATGTGAGAAAAATTCGACCGTTATTTCAATCTTCACAGTACCACTTTTTTTTTAAAGAAAAATCTAATTTTACCAAAGATAAGTCAAGTAAAGAGAAGATATTAAAAACTGAAATATTTTTTAATTTATAATATTCTTTTTACTACTTTCACTGTACATAAATAATTTGATAATATTCTTTTTTCAATTTATTGTAAAATTTACAATTTACTTAATTTAAATAAATAACAATGTTTTTCGGATGCAATTATTGAGACTTAATTCTAACATAAAATACACATTTATTTCATAATATCATATAAAATATCAGCAATTAACAATATTTTCCATATTTTATCTTACTTCGAAGTACGGACTTTTTAGTTGTGAATATCAGTTTTACATCAACCGATAGCTTAAGCAATGTTTATTTGCCGAAAAGTCGATTGTTCAATACTTTTATTAAATTTTATTTTGATTTATCTTGAACTTTCTTGACTACTTGAATGTCCAACAGATTATTAGTGTGGTTATATGTATATATGCAAAAAGAGAAAATGGTATCTAACAGTTTTGAATAAATAACAAAAAAATCTAAAGGTCAAATATTATTTATGATGTCAACGTGCCTACGCAATATTCCTATTATGAAATAAATAGCTTAATACAACGGTCTTTGCCATTCGTAGACAGAGAAACCTATAGACTAACGATTAGCGTGGCCTCGAGTGAGAAAGGACGATAACGTAGTTTTAGGTTATACAATAATCTTTATGACTTTTAAACATATTTAGATAAAAATTTTAATTGTTCTAAGAACTGAACTGAACAAGATTCACCAATCTTAAGCTCAAAAATACTTTGTTCTCACTTAAACTAACTTGTAAACTCCTTAGATCGCTACGAACTGTCAAAGTTGTTTAGCAAAGTGTAGTTTGCTACACAAAAAAACCGGCACGGAGAAAGGGACAAACAATCACACTTCTCTGTCTCATTTATATACAAGACGTATGCATAAATCTATCTTTTTCGTGTGCGAATGCGAAAGAAGGCATCAATCTCTCTATAGGTTTCTCTGTCATACGTCGCCATTAGTTTACTTGTCACCAAGCTAACCACAAACTAAAAATGAGTTTGATGATCTGTCACATTAAAATTCATACTTTATGGTTGCAAATTTGAGTAGCTTTTTACAACTTTACTCTGTGAATGATCTACTAAAAGGTTGTAATTTTTAGGATAAACAGACTACAATAAGAGCCATAGAAATAGTCAGTACTCTTTCTGCCTTATTGAATTGAACGTTAAGCATTTTTGAAAAGAATCAGTCTTAACTTACAATTTTAACTTATTTATTAAGTGGCTTTGTTAAAATACGCACTACCCTATATTATCCCGTGGGTTTCGTAAGAGGCGACAGAGGAAAATTGAAACAGGTAATGGGCAGTAGCATCTTTCTGATAACAACCCAATATAATAAATAAACTATAGTTGACAACCCGCCTGCCAGGCGTATCAACCATGGCAGAATTCCTCTTATGAAACAATTAATGGGGAGGCCTATGTTCGGCCGTAGACTCTTATAGGATTTAATGATTTTTTTAAATATAATATTTACTTATCCATATTTTGTAAAAACATTATTTTTATGCTAAAATAACTTCAAACAAACCATTATTATGTTTTTTTTTTCATATTTTTGTGTTAAGTACTATCTACTAAAGTCGTTGAAAAATATTTCAACTTATAAGACCTAAGCACTGTAGATTAGTATAGTGGTGTAAGTGTTAAAATTCTGTAAAAGAATAATGATTTTTTTAAATTATAGGCTCTGAATATTAATGTGGTAATGTGCAAATGCATGTAAAATATAGTTTTGCCTTTCTTTTTCTCAAACTTGCAAAAGAAATAAGTAAATAATAAATTGGTACAAGTTGCTTCTTTTAACAGTTTACGTATTTTACTTTTTTTTAAAGGTACATAAATGTAAATGACACTATTTTCCAAACTATTAAAAATATCGGATATTAATGGTGACATCTTTTTCCTCTTATTATTTAGGTAAAAGTTCTTGAATCTTTAAATCGCTCTCCTGTAAAGTCGTACTTTTCCACTTACATTGGTATACGTTTGAACCGTCGATACGATACTGTGCCGAAAAAATAGTTAAAGTAAACTAGTCTAGCTGTTTTAACATTGGTAAGACTTTTAATACTTTTTAAGCATATGCTGCAGAGCTAAATCTGCTTGATAGTTTTGATATACGGGGGCATCACTAAAGCTTTGCCTTTAGTGTGATTCCAAGAATAATGATGGTATCGAGAAGACTCATTTCCTCTCCATTTAAATGAATAAAATGAATTACATACATTTAGTTTTAGTGTCATTCAAAGGAAAACTATTAACATTAAACCAATTTACTAATTTAAATATGGCATTATTCACTTCGTCATATATTAGTTACTATCGTTTTAATTTGAAACTTAATGAAATATCATCAGCAAGTTATCTCCTACAATGTAAGTTAAGTCATTAATATATACAAGAAACAGAAAGGGGACAAGAATTGAGCTCTGAGGCACGCCCATTTATACTATCGACTCGGAAGAGCTCATACGATTATATATATAGCCTTTTTATTCAGATCAAAAATTACATAAAAAGAAAAATACATGCAAAGCTTAATACTAATGTTATCCTTAATCTAGTCTTTTATTTGAGGTTTTCTTATTTTTTGAAGATCTGTTTGCCAGTCGGCAAAGGCCTCCTCCAACCTTTTCCACTCACGTCTTTCTTGACCCACCCTGTTCCATGTGACGCCTGCCACTTGCCTGATGTCATCATCCCACTTTTTTGTGGTCTCTCTGTTTTCCTTTTTCCTTCTCTTGGATACCATTGCGTCACATTTTTGCTCCATTTATCTCTTCCTCTTAACATGTGCCCCGCCCATCGCCACTTCAGTCTTCTAATTTTGTACGTTATGTCTGTAACCTTTGTGTTGCTTTTTATTACACAGTTTCTCAGTCGGTACGATTTTTTCACATTCATCATGCTTCTTTCTATTGCGTGCTGGCATGTTGCAAGTTTGTTAGTCAGGTTTTGTGACAAGGTCCATGTTTGACTGTTGTACATGAGAACTGGAAGTATGCAGGTGTTAAAAAGTTTGCTTTATATATATATATATATATATATATATATATATATATATATATATATATATATATATATATATATATATATATATATATGCAGATTTTTATCCTTCATAATCTCTTTTAAAGCCCAGTACCTTTTCCAGGCGTTGGTTATTCTTCTTTCAGCTTCTTTGCGCATGGGGTTCATTCGAAGTTGTCCCAGATAAACATATTCTTCCGTATACTCGATTTGATTATTCCCTAAGTTATAGCTGTTCTCCCCGTTGCACACCTAGTTTTTTCTGGGTTCAGTTGTAAACCCCACCTTCTTGGTCTCCATTGTTAAATCGTTTATCATTTTTGTTAAATCTTCGGGAGTTTTTGCAAATAGCACAATGTTATCCGTGAATCTCAGATGAGTTAGTGAACGACCATCTACATTAATACCGATATTTTCCCAATGAAGACCTCTGAATATTGTCTCAAGCACCGCCAAGAATAATTTTGGTGACAGAAGATCTCTTTGTCGTACGCCTTTGCCGATTTTGAAATATTCGCCTTTCTTTTCCAGTTGTATTCTCGCCTTAATCTTGTTCTAAACGTTTTTAATTAAGCGGATATACTTGTGGTCAATTTCTTGTTCTTTTAATGACTCCTATATCTTTGCGTGAAATAAAGAATCAAACGCCTTGCTGTAGTCGATGAATCCAATGTAGTAGGTCAATTGGTATTCTTTATACTTCTCCATAACTTGGCGTACTACAAGGATGTGGTCGAGCACTGAGTATTCTTTACGAAAACCCGCCTGATCATACGATTAATGACAACTTCTTAATGACCTGACCGTCAGGAAGTTCGTAGGACTTCTCGAGGGAGCTGCTGGAGGCAGCAGTGACCATCTCCTGCTCGAAGGCGACATAACACAGTTTCTCCTTACTGTCACGCACGATTTCTCGCTCGACTGTGGTGGTAAATGAGTAACTACGCTCTGTGAGGATCTTCATTAGGTAGTCTGTGAGGTCACGGCCGGCCAAGTCCAGACGGAGGATGGCATGGGGCTGAGCGTTATCCCCGTAGATGGGCACCGTGTGAGAAACACCGTCACAAGGGTTAAGAACGATATACCGGTGGTAGGACCGGACGCGTACAGTGACAGTACGGCCTGGATGGCCACATACATGACAGGTATGTTGAAGGTCTCGAACATGATCTGAGTCTTTTTTCTGTTTTTTGGTTGAGGGGAGCCTTTGTGAGCAGAACGGGGTGTTCTCTGGCGCAACTCGCAGTTTATTGTAGAAGGTATGGTGCCAGATCTTCTCCATGTCGTACCAGTCGGTGACGATACCATGCTCTATGGGGTACTTAAGGGTGAGCATAACTCTCTTGTCTTGCGCCTCATCGCCAACTTAGAAATCTTTCTGTCCCATGCCCACCATCACACTCTGGTGGCAAGGGCGGCTCAAAATTGAGGGGAACACGGCATTTAAAAATTAATTATAGTCATCCGGAAATCCAGTACACTGGAAACAATGGGTTAAATCTTAGTCCTCAAGGGTGACCACGCAACTGCATTTTTATTCTCAATCGAGGATAGATATAGACGTCTTGGGGATGGGGATCCACTTATGAGCAGGTAGACTATGTACTCGTTTATCACCCTTATTCCATAAAAAAATATTAAAGGTAATAGTTATGTATACGTTAGCACAAAGTCCAATTCTAAAAACAAAATAAATAAAATAAAATAAAGTACATAATATTGTATACTAATACAGTTTATAAGAAACATTTAATGGTAGATTTATATCGCGGTAAAGTAAAAGAAGATAATGTGATTTCAAAGGACCATAAAAACTTTATATAACTTCGTAAACTTGACATCTGGAACTATATCAGTAAAAAGCTTTAAAATTAAACGCTATAAAGTCCATAATATTAAATTTAATCATCAACCAACACAACTTAAAAATTTCTTATTCGTTATCGGTTAAAAGTCCATTACTAAATGTTAGTACACACATAAGACCTGGCAAACACTGACCTGGGTAACCTTTGAGATGCTCTGCGGTTATCGGGCCCGGTATGATGTGGATTCTGGCCAAATGTGTCCATATTTTTCTTTTTTCACAGGTCCAGTACAGAAAACTGCCTTAGTATTCGATGTAGCAGGGAAATGAGATCTTGTCTGCTGCCAGTAACGGAGCGCGACGTATGTTTTAGATAGTCAACAGCACACAGTCCACCTGATGGTAAGTGGTGGCTGTGGCCCATCTTCTATCCTCACACACAGATGCTCACCACATGAATCCTCCCTAAGGGTCTCCTTCTCTCCTCACCTACACACACTCTACCACCTGTTTCTAACCTCCCTACATAAACTCAGCATGGCTCTACCACGTAAAAAATGTGTACTGTCAAAAGCGTTAATGCTTGTGTTCACGAAGAAGTTGGCCGTTACTAGTGGTCGTTGTGAGTGTGGTTCAAAAAAAGGTTGCTCGCTTCAAGTTAAAGAGTGCTTGCCAGTAAGAAAAAATATTTATTTGAAACATTTTACTTAAGACGAAATGTTTTCCTTTCAAATTGCACTATTTTTAATTGTAAGAATTATACCTAAAAGTTTATGAAAAAATATAAATAATAATATAATATCACGTATGTATCGTATCATGCTGCCCACATTAAAAGTAAGCAGTATCTTTTAATTAAATTTTAACGGATCTTCAATATAAACTAGTCCTTGACATAAAATGAAAATGTATAAGCAAAATTAAACGTAATACCAGAAAGTACTTATTAAAAACTATATCTTAAGATTAATGATACATGTTTAAAGCTATTTCTAAAGAAAGTATAATACGAAATCTTAATCATTATTTACATTTTTATTACTCTATTGGAAGTGGACAAATTTTCTTATATACAAATTGCTTCAAATATATTTTCCCAATTTGGAGAGTTACAACACGCGGGGTCCCATCAGAGCCTGGATGTAGGCAGTGTACACGTGCAAGCCGCCATTGTAAAGGTGGAAGGTTATCATCGCATACCATCACAATCATGCTTTCACGGACCAGATCTCCACGGTTAGTAAACCATTTGCCACGTTGCTGAACTTCATGCAAATACTCTAAGCTCCATTTTTTCCAGAAATGTTGAACCGATTGTTGTATTAAACGCCACCTGACCAATCTATTCGGATTTTCATCCACAAGCGAATTGTCGGGGATTGCTGTTAGTGGTTTGTGTAAAAGTGGAAAATGGTGTTTAAAACTTTTGACGCTCGCTTCAAAAAGTCCACCATTTTGGTGGACTTGCATGGTGGCTGAAAATGCCATGTTATTCCTTCCTACAGAGTCTTGTTCTGGAGCGCGCCTTGTACAGTGTCATTCCGAAGGAAGGCATACAAGTCCTTTAGATATCTGTCACAGACGATGAAATTCTTACTGCAGTCGGAGTAAATAACTTTGCATAAACCTCGGAATGATGTGAAGCGTCGTAATGCCGCTAAGAAACGCTCTGTTGAAGGTTCCGAAACTATTTCGAGGTGTATAGCCTTGACGCACATGCATTCAAATACACATACGTAACATTTTACTATTTTTGCATTTTTGTTATCTCGGACGTAGAAAGGACCAGCGAAATCTATGGCAGTTTTAAGAAAGGGACGTTCAGGTCACAAGCGTGTGGCAGGCAATGGATCCATGCTGGGCTGCGGGCGCACGGGACGTGCTCGGAAACAACGGACGCAGCGATGAATATATAATACATTGCCGTATGATGTCACGACCGGATAAGATCCAATATTTTTGTGGAAGTATGTATTAGGTACTCTGCGCACCAGCATGTAAGTGAGATTCATGAGTGTAATTAATAATTAGAATCGTTAACGGATGTTTTTAAGTAAAATTAATTGATGTTTTGAATCACTTGGTAAAAGGGACTTATGTATCCCCCACCTACGTGAAGAAAATTGTTTGAGTCAATAAAGGGATTTAAACGTCTTATTTGATTTGATGGGATTTTTCCTTTAGAAAGGTTATAAATGCCATCACGAAATACAGAATGTTGAACAAGAAATATAAGTCGATTTAAAGTAAATTTGAACTCGCTTACGGAAATGTGTTTAGAAAGAGGAGTTTGGACCTTCTTACATTTATTATAGAAACGGAATAATGTAGCAGTGATACGAACCAGTTTACCCGGGGATGAATAACTTGATATAATTTCTACGTCTTCGTTAGTGGAAGAAGAAGTACACGGATTGGAAACAATTGCAATGTTCCGTTTTTCTTATTGTGTCCGGGTAACTTCGGAAACAGGCCAAGTAGTCTCGTCCTCTTGTAAAAAGTGAGGATCGCGGAACCATATGATGTGATTTAAAAAATTGGCGGGAAGCATTCCACGGGAAGGCGCGTCTGCCAGATTATCTGCAGACGGAACATGCCGCCAACGACTATACAGAATATTACTTATAATTTCTGTTAAGCGATGGAAACAAAGGTTTTCCATTCGTGTGGAGAAGAACGCAACCACGCTAGTACCTCAGATGAATATGACCACGCGTATATCTAATCGCGAGGTATGGGATTACCATAAATGTTTAAAGCAGCTTTCATTAATGGAAGTAATAGTAGAGCAGCCATGAGCTCTAGACGTGGTATGGAAATACGTTTAGAGGGCGCCACACGTGTTTTAGCTAGAAGAAGGTAAGTGTCCACTGCACCCATGTCTCCTTGCACGCGAAGATAGACGCATGCAGCATACGCTTTCTCGGATGCATCCGAGAAGCCGAGAAGCTGTACAGAATGAGTGTGGGTAAATACATGACGCGGAAAAATCACTTTTAATAAGAGTGGGGAGCTCATTAGTAAAATTGGCCCATGAATTTATTATATCTTGGGGTGAAAGTGTTCATCCCAATCTACACGTGCTATCCATAACAACTGGATTACAGGTTTAGCAAAAACGGTGACTGGCGATACGAGGCCAAGTAGGTCATAAATTCTAGCAATTTATGATAGAATCGAGCGCTTAGTACATTTGTTAGAGGCAATATGAACACTGAAAGTAAATAAATTTGAATGTGGATTCCACTGAAGACCAAGCACTTTAGTTTTCATATCATTTTCCATCTCCGCAAAAGGTACGTTATGGTGCCGCTCACCATGAGAACTTGTGGGCTGAATTGCAGCGAGTAATGCAAGCGAGTTACTGTGCTACTTGTGAAGAGTGAAGCCGGCAGCCTGAGATATGTTTATTAACTCCTGTTATAGAGCAAGAGCTTCTGCCTCCGTATTGTCACCTGACACTATGTCATCCATGAATATGTCATTTTTTATCATGAGAAGCACGTGGAAAGCGCATGGCTTCATTAAGCGCAAGATGTCGCATTGTACGAAGTGCGAGGTAAGGCGAGGAACTAACTCCGAAAGTTACAATACAAAGACAATAATCGCGTATAGGTTCGTCAGGAGAAGTACGTCATACGATACTTAGACTAGAATATTGCGGTACATCTGTTTAATGTCAGCTGTGAGGCAATAGAATGAATTCGAGACTTCAATAGAACGTCGATTATATCCAGATGAAGTTTGGGTACTGTAAATAAAACGTTGTTCAGGGAGCTCCCGTTGGTAGTCTTGCAACCCGCATCATAGACCACTCGCATCTTTGTTGTTTCCCTAGATTCCTTCACCACGCAGTAGTGCGGAATATAATATGAGCCACCAGATTTTGACAGTAGCACAGTACCCGTTCGTAGCGACGGAGCAGAACTAGATTGAGTGATTTACCGACGTCATAACTAGCTGAAAATCGTTCGACGTAGCAGGATCGTACGCTGTGGAAAGGAGTGAAGCGGAGCTGTCATGCGGATCAGCTGTCTCGGTAGCCAACCATGGTTGCTGTAAAGCACCCGAAACGTCGGGAATTAAAAATAAGTAAAATCAGTTAAATAAACGCGATATAATCCAAAAATTTAGTTTTATTCAATGTGTAGTGTTCGCATAAATTTAAGAAATCATTATTACTTCAAGTGCTTTAATGTTTTCTTGGTAAATGTTCAGTAAGTTACGTAAGCTGATTGTAGATTTTTCTGAACAAGGTTCAATATCGGGAATTTTGTCGACATGAGTGGAAGCTATAATTCTTTTGTTCTCATAACGTGAAATGAATACCTGTAAGGCTACAGAATAGTTCGCTTCGGTAATAGGAATTGATTTAATTAAATTGTAAATTTTTTAAAGTAAGGAGTAAATACCTGAATTTCTCTGCATCCATGTAGGCATTATTGTTATGTACGAGTGACATATACAGATCATAAAATGAATTCCAGTCCGTACTACTACCCGAAAAACTGGGCAAGGGAATTTTAGGT